GTATTTGACAGATAAAACCCACCCTAAATGGGCTTACTTGCTATGTTACGGGCTATGTTGGTTGGTTAGGACCATTTTTAAATTGGCCGACAGTTAGAAGATCGAAAAATATTTCTGCACCCAATAAGATGTCAATTTTTTACATTTGTAGAATTCTGGATCCGCCAATTCAGTATTGTGCGAAATTTTCCAGCCATTAACACTGATGGTTTGGTCTGGTTGATAAGCCGAAAAATTGCGCATTATGCAGAACTCCGCCGAAAATTCGTATTTATTTACCAGCGACTTAACAAATAGCATAAGGGCACCGATTTCACGAAGTCGAACATCTGTTGCACCAGATGCGCCTTGAAAGTGGGGCAGACAGTCAAACCTTTGGATTTGTACTGGCAAAGAGGCTACCTCGTGTTTGCAGTAACTAGCGCCGATTTGGTCCTGTCTATATGTTGTTGTTTCCCATGACTCGCACTGCTTGTCGGTATTGGATTTGTTCTTGAGTGTGATGATGTGTTCCCCTTATAGCTAATGGTATCTACGATTTAGGGTGGCTTCACAGTCCTTCAACAGTGGCAGCTTGTCATAATCAAAGTAGTCAGATATTGTATTCAAAAATATCACATTTATTATCATAAACTTTTTTGAAATATGTATATTAATGTAAAAAGTGACTTTATATTTATTATAAAATGTTTTTTATTCTTAAYTAAGTTAAAATTACTTGAAAAATGAATAAATGAATAAAAAATACAACTGTAATAGCCAACTGTCGCTACTTCTTGAGATGTGAAGTTGGGTGCTGCTTGTCAGCATTGCCAACATTACATTCGGTCATCCTGCTCGTCATCTGTCTCAGATTACAAATCTTCATCATCCTCGAAATGTGTCCAAAACTTCAAATTATCAACACTAGTTTATGTAACCTTGGGCCCCATAAAATCTACACCTWACGAAATTAAAGATGAAAAGCGAAATGTTTAGTGGCATTATGAAACTATTCCGAGAAGAATTGTTAGAGGTATTCCAAGAATGTCGTCACACAATAAGAAAAGAAGAAAACATCAATATCGTCTACATATAATTAAATGATACCTTCGTTTATCATCTGCCGAAAAATATAGTTTACGTACCGCATGAACACTGCTTTAGSCAATTAAAACAAACCTTCTCTGGTTACAAATGCTCTATATATTTCTGACTACTTTCTTCAATTAGCATTTGAAGGAACCCGTKTTTGAATCCATAACCGCAAAGAATTTCGCTGATTGCATCTTTTCGTCGATGATTGGAACTGGGAAACGATCTTTTAATACAGCAGAATTTAGTTTACGATAGTCTATGCAAACACGACAAYTTTCATATTTTTTCTTTGCAATAACAACTTTACTATGTTTGCGTTGGATTCATGAACTATACAAGTTTTAACCATTAGTCCACTTGACTCTTGACGCTCTGCTGCAGATCGGGTCGGACTTTCTTCGTCTTTTGATATTTTGAAGGATGGAGCCATGTGTAGAAGTGACGAAGTGACGCAAGTGAGAAAAGTTCTTTGATCACCATTCACTTGGGAGTGGCCAGAAACGATTCTTTTACATATGACTCAAGCAGCTCACGACTTCCGGTCCTTGACCAAGTACCCTCCGGATAGCCTAAGAACATCCGTTTGAAGGCGATCTAAAGTGAGAAGGCGAAACATTGGGACTCGCCACGTAAAAAAAACCACCCCAATGAAAACGCAACAACAGCCTCGCATGAGAGACCCCACTTTTGATGACGACCATGGCAAACGAAATAAGAACTACGAATTGAGGGCATGCACCTGGAATGTCTGGTCCCTTAATTGAAAAGGTGCCGCTGCACAGCTGGTTGATGTCCTCGTAATAATAAAGGCTGACATCACCGCCGTCCACGAAATGCGATGGACGAGACAAGGACAGAGACGAGTAGGTCCTTGTGGCATTTACTACAGTGGCCATATAAAGGAACGCAAGTTTGGTGTAGGAAGAGAATGACGATGTGACCAAAGATGCCTTTTATGAGTGCTTGAAAAGCACTTCGGAGAGCTGCCACCGCCACGATGTCAAAATCGTGCTTGGCGACTTTAACGCCAGGGTGGGCAAAGAAGGTATCTTTGGCGCTACGGTCGGTAAATTCAGCCTCTCTTGGTTATCTCTAGTACTAGATTCCAGCAAAAGAAGATACATCAAGCTACCTGGCTGTCTCCGGATCGAAAAACCACCAACCAGATCGATCATGTTGTAATAGACGGAAGACACGTCTCCAGTGTATTAGATGTGCGTGCGCCCCGAGGTCCTAGCATCGACTCGAACCACTATCGGACGGTATTTCAAACTAGGACAGGTGTAGTGCTCGAAAAGTCTACGAAAAAATGAGGCGGCTTCCAGAAGGTTTCAAGACCGGAGCATACTCTTGTAGAACCCCCAAAGGTGATGTAGTCACCGATGCCCAGAGCGTACTTAAATTATGGAGGGAACACTGTGAATGACAGTGAACGCACAACGCCAGGAGAAGGCGAAATTGGGAAAAATGGATAGCAAACTGCCATCTAAAAATATTAAAATTTGTTTTTGTTAATATAATTTCACATAATTTTATTAGCAATATAAAACTGCTTACCTCTGATGCTGTAAACGCAAAGGAGGCAGCAGACTTCAAGCAACATCTGTCAAAAAATAGCAAAAATCGGCCATTTTTTAGCAGTGTTGCCTACTCAAATTTGGTAAATTCAGCTATATGCAGGAAATATTTTTGCATTGAAAACTTGCAGTAACAAGGGTCACATGCGCAAGTTAATTTAAATTAGGCTATCAAATATATTTCGATTATTAAAATTCACAAAGACTAAATTTACCTAGTTTTAATTAAAAATGTATTTATTGTATTCGAAATGTTCGTTAATCTTTCCTATTTTATTTAAAGAATATTTGCGTAACTACTTAAAAAACAAAAACAATGTGTTTCGTGCAACTGTGTGATGTAAAAATGTAAATGGTTGCAGTTTAGGGGTGTCGCTTTATCCCTTCCCATCGGAAGTGGAAATTTCCAGGTGAGTCTAATACATGATAATAGTCCAAGATTGATAGAGAAAGAGAATACGCAATGCGCATATTTGCTTTCAGTCAGCTGTTCTTTACGACGTCACGGTTGACTTATTATTCGCCCGCGCCTTTGAATGTGAATTCGAATTGTATTTTCGGGTGTAGTATTAATTGTGAAATTTTATATATTTTAAAATAAGTTGTGCAGTGTTCGGATGCAATAATAACAATGTTAAAAATAGTGCGACGAAATGGAAATTTTTCCTTTTCCCTTAGGATAAAACAGTACTAAAATAGTGGATTCCTTTTTGAGAACTTCGCGCCAGAAGCCTTCGAAAGAAATTTGCACTTTGAAATGGGTAATTGTAGCATTTTGATTACAATAATTTTACTTTTATAACCAAACACTCTTTCTCTTTAAATTCGCGGAGACTAACGAAGTTGTTACCTAACGCTTTTCTCACGTTAACCAGATTAACTCCTGCAGAGGCTAATGAAGGGCAGAAAAGGATGAAATCTCGACTAAACCAGGACGTTTTAGAAAATTTGTTTGGCGGAATCAGGTCAAAAGGCGGTCTTCACGGTCACCCTGATAGGAAGGAGTTCCATCAAGACAGATAGAGGAAATGTTGAAGTCGACAACACCTCTGATATGAAAGGGAATTACTTATCTCTAACTGGTTATTATCAAAATATTAAGCGTACATAGTATTATAAACCTAAAACTACAGAAAACATTCTTATATAAAAATGTTTTCATTTTAACAAATGCAAATATGTACTTACATACAAACTAAGTTTTTGAATACTAACCACTGTTTCTTATCCTAATTATAATAATAATCTTAGCTAACAATTTATTCCATTTATAGGCATGTATGTATGCTTATTATATTTTTGCAGGTAATATTTTTCAACGTGTGTCAGTTGATCTAAATTCCGCTGACCCAATTGAAAAAAATTATGACTTGAACAACGACGGGCTTGAAAATTTGGCAGGGTACATCTGCCACAAACTTGGTAAAGACAAACCCGAAATTTGTGCCAATTCAGAAAATTGTTCGTTCGGAGGACTCTCAAAACCAACAGATATATTGATGGAGCACATGAGAGCCTTGCAAGCAGTATTTGACGACTTAAATGTTACTGATTTGCATATACATATGTACAAATTACGTCCAGAAGCACTTAGATTTAAGTAATTTTGTTAATTGTAGCATCAAAGTCAAAGAATTGTTTTTCAGAACTAGAATGTATTTTAGGATTCGTTCTTTAAATAAAAAGTTAATTTAAAATATGTACAGCAAAAAAAGAAATAAATTGATAGTTGGTCACAAAATATTCAATATTTTTATTTGCATAAATGTATGTATATAATTGAAACAAACACAGCAAAGAGACAAAATTAAATAATGCAACGAAAATATAATGAATTGAATATGTAGGTAAATGTTCACTATAAAATAATCACATATAGATATTTTTTTTTATTAATATTTACTTATATTGATGTTAACTTTTAATAATATTCATGTTTTTGTATGCCTGCAATACAAGATTGATTCTAATTGCACAGAAAAACAACCAACTGAAAATCAGCTGATTGTACGTTGGTCAACCGTGACGTAGATGCGCAGAACGAACAAAATTTGAACTCGTCATTGCGCAATCTTGTTTCTATCATTCTTGATAATAGTCTATATGTAAATAAGTGATATTAGATATTTGTATAAAGTGTTAGTGCGACGAATTGAAGCCCGGTTTCACGTTCCATACTTAAGTTGTGCCTAAATAAAATCTTAGCTAAGCATTGTTGCAAACTGAGTAGTCGCTTGCGTTTCACAGTCAATGCTTAATTTCTATAAAATTTTATTATGATATATGGCAACGTTGTGGGCAACATATGTTTTACAAATACCATCCACAAACATATGATTCAAATATTTAAATTATTATAGACAGCGTATAAATTTGGAAGGAAAGTTATGTCGCAAATGGATGAAATCCAGAAATGAACCCCGAATTTCACCGCAAGCGAGTCGGAGCAGCTATTGGAACTGGAAGATCACCAAGAAATTGTTAACTGAGTTTGATGAAAAACTTTTGACTGTGTTGCATGAGAAGCAAGTTAGTGGCATGCAGAGTGTGTATGACAATGATATAATTGCCGTAAATATTGATGGTGAGTTTATACACTTGATTTTATTTTCATGATATTTCAAATGTATGATTTTATCAATTCTCTAAAATAGAGTCCGTGATATTGGAGGAAAATACATCAGAAAGCATAGTGGATTTCGAAAACACGACTGAAGTGGAAATTATAAAGGAATAAATGGTAAAGAATTTTAAAGTAAAAAATATCAGAATCATTACAAATAAATCTAACTTTTTGAACGTCAACGTTACGTTAAACTTTGAATCAAACCAGCTTTAGAACAAATATGATCCCAGCAAGTTGAAAACACCAAAAAATACAAAACTAAAATTTGAAAAACCGCAAAGATCTGCGAAAAATGTTTGGGCAAAGTTAGGAGATATGAAAGCAAAATGGACGGAAGAAAAATATGAAGCTGAAATAAATATAATATATGTGGAGCACGAACAAAGAATGAAGCCATTAGAAGAAAGTAGCAACCTATCAACGAAGTTGATGAAAGAAAAACATGATTTGGAAATGAAAATTTTAGCACTAGATTAGGAAAGAAGAATAAAGGAGCTGGAAGTGTGAAATAAAAAATGCATATGTGCATGTAAAATTATAAACGTATTTATTAAACTACAATTGGGGCGTTCACAACCTGTCTTAAAGCATCGTAAAGTCGTAAAATTTTAAATTTTTACACTTGTTTAAATAAAAATTAGGGTTTGCACATGTCTCTTAAAGTTATAAGTGTGGGATTCGTACCCTATTGCATTCACCAATTTCGATATAAGTATACAAGTTTGTTAATCCACTTCTTTAATGATAACAATTAAGTACACTTCATTTACAAAATATAGTCTCTAAATTCAGTTATAAAATATAAGTAGTTTTCACTCTCACAAATAATTCTTCTTGCGTTATTCACTTTTTAGTTCTCAACCTTTACTTGCTGCGCACGTCTGACCGACTTCTAACTCTTGCTTGCTCGCCGCGCATGTCTGTTCAGTTTGGTGACCGACTTCTAACTCTTGCTGCTTTAGCTCATCGTGATCAGAGCAACCTACGCTGTCTTTTCCGTACTGTCCCTTTTCTTATTTTCCCTTTCTGCCAGAGATGCCATCCCACATAAGTTATAACGATTCGAAAACATAGTATTGAGAATTGTAAATGTGTAAACTCATTTTTGTATGTATTCCAACAACAATCACGGAGTGGTTATTTTCATAACCACTGTCTGCAACTACTATTCCAGAACCAAATTCTTAGGATTCTAATCGACAATGAATCCGAGAGTTACGGAAAATAATAACATCACGAGTGGATCCGGGCCACCGTGCAACGATGTCTATGATGCGGAGATCACTATCACATAACGTCTGGACGTTGATGGAAAATATACGTTTTCTATTACGAAATAGTTCTGCATGTTCCCCACCTGTATATGAAGTATATAAAAAGTTTTTGAGTGAAATATTTTTTGGACTTTCTTTACTTGGAGAAATAATTTTTACATGAGTGCAATCACTTGATGCGATCACTCGAGGAAATTTAGCTAATTTAAAAAAGTCTCTCTTGGACTTTTTCAGGTCTCTTTCCGTTTTTGGCATATAAATGTGATGGTCTTTTAATTGGGCTTTGTGGTGTGAAACTACTGGTATAACTCTTGATACCGTATTTTTAGATACTCCAAATAAATCTCCTACTGTCCTCAACATACTTCCCGTAGCATAAAACCTCAATGTAATGCAATTTATATGTACCACTTGGTTTTGTGTTCAATTTGTAGTCGAATACAATCGTGCACATTCCAGGCTGTTTTTTTGCTAATCCGAAATCTGTCGCGGAAATCTTTATCGTCATATAGCTTGAAGAATTTTGACCGGGACGTGATTTCTTTTGCTCGTCGCATTATTATAACATTCCAGAGGTCATCGTATTCTGGGTCACTGTTCCCTATCCGATTCCATTTTTTTTTTCACAAAATATAATTTGTTATATCTTATTATTCCTTTTTACACAAATAACTGAAAATTCAAAACAAAAATCAGCTGTTATTTAAGCACTGCTTAAGTCTCCCTATTCAGTACTTAAGCATTACATAAGTATGAACTGTAAAACACTATTTTCCTGATTATCTTACGTACAACATAAGTATGCACTGTGAAACCGGACATACATGTTAGAAAAATTTTGTCCAAATACGAAAACAAAATGTGAATAGGGACGTCCGAAATTCAAATGACGTTATATCATAAAAGATGTGCATTTAAAAAATCGCGTTATTTTATAATTTATATTTTAATATATACACATATATATGTATACAGCTATCGGACAAAACAAGAGGACACCTTAGAAATTTGTGATTATTTTATTTTATTTAACATAAACTTATAGATTGAAGTATATTTATTTATACCAAACCAGTCAAAATGATTGTTCTTAAAAAGGAAGTGGTTAATGAGGTTTCAAGGTTTCCAGTAATATAGACTTAATAAAATTAATTCTTTAGTTATAACTAGAAAAGTCATGATATCATTACGGAAAAAAAATATTACACGTCATTTTGACTGGTCTGGTATATCCAGTGTTAAAAATGTGGACAAATATAAAAAAAAGTAATAAAACTTGATTTATATAAGTATTCAAAACAAAAATAAATAATTTAGTTCAAAATAAATATTACATTTTTTGTTAGAAGCTGAAACAAAATATTTCCGATATTTCAATTTCTGCTATGATTCTTACAAAAAATGTTCTCAAAACTAAACGCGATACAATAAAARCTCGATTTTTTTTTAATTAGTAATAATAAAATGTAAACGTTAAAATGTCTTCATTTAATATTTCGTGACGCCTTCTTTGTTAATAGTTAAACTATAAACATTTTTAGTTTAGCTAATGTCTGTGTTTTATTTATTTTCACTAGACGGTGTGAATGGGTAAAGCTGTTTCTCACTTAAGATGAGGAAGTGTCGCTCAGATTTAAATTTAAGATTATCTCCACCTATAGCGTAAGTTTATATGGGCATAAGTTGTAGTGAACAAGTCGGTAGAATAATTGACCAAAACGGACAGGACAACATTATAGAATTAGGTTGTGAGGATTTTTACCCGATACATCTTAGATTAATTAGAACTGTCTCAACTTCAAACAGTAATACAGTAATACGTTTGAAGCTGAGCCCTTAAGTAAATCCCTTCAACCAGCAAATCTTGAAGAATATACACATTCTTTCACTTTAGGTAATTCGAAACTGAAGGGACCCCTAGAAAAAGAATGTATCGGGTTTGTACTAAACGATGCTATAAACATCAAATTTTTAAGTGGATTGTAGATGCTATAGCAAACACATATTTGCCTAATGAATTAAA